AAAGGGAGAGAAAGGAAATGAAGGGCCTCGTGGAAAGAGCGGACCGCCAGGAATGATGGGAATAAAAGGAGCGCGCGGAACTGTGGGCAATCAAGGACTAAAAGGCGATAAGGGAAAGAAAGGAGATAGCGTGACAAGTCCTTCAAGTGCAGTGCCACAAACCAACTGGAAACAATGTGTGTGGAAAGCTGGTGATAGTCGAGATAGCGGAAAGATCAGGGTAAGAGAGAAATGTTTTGATCACTAATGGTTATTGGCAAACTGAAATTACTTTACTTTAGTTACCTAATGTAGGTTAAACTTCAGATTAAGAATTCGACTAAGATTTATGCGACCGGAAATCAGATGTTTAGTATCCAAAGGTTGAGTACATATATGCTGTTATTAACCGTAGTATTTTGTCAACTGGTTGCACATCATGGTGACGAAAGTGATATTACATTTTTTCGGTAATAAGAAGTGGAATGGTGACTTGGGTATTCGAGTACCGAGCATGGATTCTCATTTATTCTTTTATCAGTCTTCTGCAAGACAAGTGTGACATAAGAATCTTTGTTGCGAAGTCCACATTCTACGTCAGGGTGAATCGTCGAAAACTCAGAACCTTCATATCATAATAGAAACACTATTCCAGTCCAAAATTAAGTCGAAGCCCAGGTTAATAAACTTCGGAAACAGTATTGAAAGTCCCTTTTGAGGAGAGTTCACCGCATTTGATAACGCCTAATTTTTCTTTTTGACATAATAGCCACAGATTTTAGGGATGCCAGTTTTTCGTGATTCCACGGAGGTGTCACAACTAGTGTCTGCTAAGTTCTGTTCTTCTCTTTTGGATACATAAAATAAGCACTCTTAAATAGTTTGAGTGAACGTAATCTGAACCCTGTGTAAAATATAACACCATAACGATATAGTGACGGTGGTTCTGCTGTTGACATTTCAGTGTAACGGAATGCACTTCACTGATAACCGAACGCTTTTTAAGAGGTCAGTACTCTCAAAAACTCACCCAGATTGACTCTTTCCTCTAGATTTTTTAAGGGAAGCTCCTTACACCACGCTTGACACTTTCTCCCACGGAGCCAACACCTTATGACCGGTATTCAGTTAATCCCGGTTAATGATACAACTGCAGTCAATGTGATATAATATATTGATATGAAGACTGACTTGAGCTTATTTTACTTCCGTTTGTTCCAGGACTGCTCGTTTAATAAGTTGGAGTCTGATACAGTGATCAAAGTCTCATTCCAGGGAAATATGGCAGTCTATGGTTCTTCCAAGTGTAACCGGTGGTTCTTCAAGTTTAATGGTAACGAGTGCAGTGGACCGATGACAATCGAAGCTGTTGTGAACAATTACTGGCCATCATCTGCTGGGAATCCCAATCGGCTTCATCATCGATCATTTGAGGGATACTGTGAAAACATCCCACAGGGCACGGTTAGAGTGGAATTATGGGTAGGACAGTATCCTGGCGATACTTTGGGTGACGCTCTCACTGGATCGCGATCAGTGTCCCGGATAATGATCGAGGAAGTATCTAGGCCCAGTTCTAATCAATCAGTTCTCATTATCGAGCTTGTCGCTACTTAAGCTTATGCTTATTAAAAGCTATTGTAATGAGAATTGACATTTTTGTGTGTTTTTAGTGAAACTGTCGCAGCCGGACGAATGGCTAAAAATAAGGCCACAAATGTGATCAGTCTAGCATAAACATTTTCTAAATAAGAATATCAAGAAACTTCACGAAACGTAATCTACTTTGCACTTGCGCTTTTTTAATTAATGATGCAAAACTAATTTTATTACATAGTACTTGCATGTAATACCATTAGAATATGTTCTAAGTTGAGCAAGTCAAATGCATGATGACTGCTCTACAGACTGTATTTGCATTTCATTAATGACTAAACGGTGTTTTTTTCTGAATTGCAATGTTCCATGTTACCGTATCAGTGATTACCCAAAATCAAATTTCTATATGGTTAATTTTTTTGCTGTTGGTAGGACTAGGATGTGTAATAAGAAAAGAAATGACAAAGTAGGTTTTCACCACAATTGCTACTAATCTCGCAATCTGATCGGCTAATTTGCCTTTGTCGATAAGAGTCTAGACAACGGTGCTCGCGTCAATGTGTTATGCAATGCCCTTTTCAGCTCGCGCTCTCAAAAAAAAAAAACATTTTCTTTACGTTGAGATTGTGGTTAAAAACAATTCGAATTGTGGTTTAGCCTAGTCTGTACTCTTATCGACAACTATACGCGTCATCACAGTGTTCAAAATTTTTGCGTGAGTCCACAACATTTTGACCACCTTGATGACCGTATCGTTGTCGATAAGAGTACAGACCACGCTCAACCACATTCAATTCGTTAAATTCTTAAGATTTATGTGTAACACTTTGTAACGTACTATACTGTGTGTATAAAAATAGCATTAAGAAACAATACTGCATTTGAAACTTAATTTAATCGTATTACAGTGCGACTAATTGAACCAGGCCACGTAGAAGAAAACTAATCAATCAAAACATAAACTCAGAAGCAATGGACTGGTAGCTTCTCGTGACGACAAATAACGCTCTGACTGACGTGAAAACATAAACTCTATGGGCTTCTCTACGTTATATACACGCTGAAAGATTCAGTCCTAGGCCGCAAATTATCATAATTATAAATCTCGCTCAAAAAAAGTTAGCTTAAGGGAGCAATCCCTTATGACGTCCCAGGGGGGAGGTTGTTTAAAAAAAGTGTTGTGTTTTAAAACTTAATGCCCCCCAAATATCTTCAAATACAAATTATATCCCCCTTCCCAATTCCTATTTTAAAAATGTCCCCCCTCCTGACAAGGCCATAGTTCTCTCCTTTGCATAATACCGTTCCCATATCTTTTTCATGATTTCTTCATCGATATTCATCACCTGACGTTTTCCACGATCTCTTGTTCCAAAGGATGCCATTTTGACTAGCTGGGATGTAATTAAACGTTGTAAGATTCATTTAGGACCAGAATACCATTTAGTTAAGTCTAGTGGACATAGCAATAACATTTTAAAACAGCTTTGTTTTGTTGTATTTTGACACCTTGAAACTTCACCCGCAATTTTCTCGAAAACGCTCATATAATTTTTTTTTTAAATTTTGTCATTGTTTAGACAACTATGTCAGCTTTTAGATCCTTACGTCGGATTTCCAAAATTATCCTTTGATGATAAGCTATTCGGTTGCATGTAAAATGGGGTATGACCTTATAACTTTGCTATGGTAAGTCAGATCTTGGTAAACTAACCTTATTTGAAACTATCATCCTTTTCTAGTACCCCAGTAACGTTTGATTTTCTGAAGGATTGATTATAGTGGTGCTCTAGTCGCT